TATATTAATGTGACAACACTGTTCTTGGCATTTATCTCTAATATGAGGGCAATTAGGCAAACACTAACCGTTGCATGTTCAGATAAGAAATGTGTGAGCTTCTTACCAAATGAAATTTTTATATCCAAATAAATATACAACAGTTGGTACGCAGGTAGAAGAAAGAGCGCAAGTCATCGGAGTCTAGAAGTAGAAGTTGTTGAACGGGCACTTAATTATTTATAAAAAAAAAAAAAAAAAATTGTATCGTTTAACAGAGTAATGGGAGCAGAGCTTAAGAATTTCTTGGAAGTCAACTTCAGTGCATGTACAGGTTTCAACTGACAAGAAATGCTTCGTAGCTAAGATGATTAAATAAATATTTGATTTCAAAAACTAAGCTCAACAATGGCACGTGATAAATTTGTTTTTTAATATATCATGCAGTTTATAGAAAGATCTCTTAGTAATAATAATAGAAAATAATTGGTATCAAAGATAGAAATGGAAATCTAAAAAATTATTAAGTTATATTGGTGCAATCCAATGCGAAGTAGATAACATTGCTCGGTCTTTTAACTCAGCCGAAACTAGGAACGCGAATGCTGCCTTCAACCAAAGTTAAGTTATTTAGAGTTGAAAAGATTATACACAAAATGCCACCAAAAAGAATGGAAAGAAAAGTTGAACGCAGTGAAAGGCGAAAACTGTTTTGACAATAAGCTCTTCAGTCCAAAACAGTTGACAACCTTAACCATTTTAACAAAATTATATTTAAAATAATATGAATTTGAGATCAAGAGTACTTTACAAAACTTGACAGATATCTAAAAGAGGTCACATGTTAAAGTTGGAAACCCGATGCTCCATTTATTTAAAGAACAGGCTCAAGATTGTCGTGCAAAAGATTTTAAGTTAATGTAATCTGTTAATCAAATGGGTTTTATTTGAAAATCAGTCATATGAATTCTCAAACATCTTGGACTTAACCTTTAAATTACACAGTGTTTTAAAGCTTCTCGGTACTCGAAATATATCATCAGCTCTCAAATAATTCACTCAAACTTGTACCAACCGAAAACAGCTTGATCTATTCTGCCTGAAGTTTAGTAAAAGTTTGAAGAATGTCTTTAATTGAGTTACAGTCTTATTGAAGTGTATGTCTTCTAAAATTTTTTTTAAATCCTAACCTAATAGGTTTATTATAGATCATGATAGATTTAACGATTTATATATGTAGGTAGATCCTGTCGAATATCCCTACTCGCTCAAGTTCTTCGGCATTCAAGCTTGGGTTCTATAGAATTTTATTCCTAATAAGCTCTAACGATGTTGCTCACTGATAGTTTACCGAATGAATCTCTCACTTCATTCCCACCAAACAACCATCTTGTGCTAGGAAAAGTTGTAGGTTAGGTTTTAAGTAGCGACAAAACCCTCGAATTATTTTGACTAATTGCTTCAGAAATGTTTTGTAACAATAGCTATTTAAAAAATTCTACAGATCTGGCCACTCCGTCACGCAATTTTATACACACTTTTCAACTATAGATTTCTCAAAAGAATACACTCTAACCTCTGCTGCCATGCGCTGCACGCGTTCGCTTGCGTAACGTATCAAAATTTTACTATAAATAATTGCAGTTTATAACTTTTTGCTTCAGCATGTAAAGTAACGACATTGTTGTTTGTGTATTCCCTATTTATGCGTGTGATTTTTATTTTTTAGTATTTATTTTTTAGCAATTAATTTTTAAATTAATTTAGTAAATAATTCTTTAAATTTTTCCAAACGAAAAGAACGAAATACATTTTGCGCACACATTTATATACATACATATATTTATTCATAAGTATATACTCCAATGTATATGTATGGTATATATATATTCTTAAAAGCCAAATCGACAATTTCACATCTTTCTTTTACTATCTTCTACTACACACAATACAGTTACATAATTTTAGTCAAATGTCCGTACGCTTAATTTTTTTCAATATTATTATATATGTATATATATCTTTATTTCGTATATGTATATATGCCACTTAAATATGTACTTCCTATGTAAAACTATATTTACCATAAGACTCGGTGATCAGTACTTGTGTGTGTGTGTTTGTTTGTTTGTTTCTGTGTATGTTCGTGAATGTGTTACTAATTGCTTTCGTATCTTGAAAACCTAGTAAAACCATGGACTAACTCTCTCGCAAAAAATTCGAGTAAATGCAAAAAACAATATATTTATATACATATATATGTATATATATATTATATGTATATATTCTTTACAAACATTACTCAAGCCGCGTTAAAAGCCAAACTTTGTGTGCCAGTTTTATATTATTAAAATTTAAAAAGTACAAGAAATTTATATCTAGCCTTTATTACCAATATTGATTTTTGTAAAAAAAAAATTTACTTTATTGTTTTAATTTAAATAAATAAAATTAAAAAATTAGATTTTCTTAACTTCTTAAATTTTTACGAATTTTTTGCAAATTTTTTTTTTGTTTAATTGGAAAAAATTGTAAGGAAAAAATACATGCAGCCGTAAAATTTATTTTTTCAGTGTTAAAATTTAATTAATTAATTATTTAAAAATTACAATTGATAAGTTAAAAAAATTAATTCATTAATTTGAATAAATTAAATTGGTTATTGTATTAATTAATTTAAATTTTAAATAATAATTTCTTTTATTAATTATATAATTTAGTGCATTTTTTTTCTATTCGCTTTTTCATTATTAATACAACATTACTTTCACTTCTTGGTTTTGAATTTAACAGGCACGGAAATTTTTTATACAAAGCAAAAAACAAAAAAAATTTAATCTACACAAATTTTCTTAATATTTTTTGCATTCAAAAATTCCAAACCTTGCAATATGTTCTTAAAAAAAATTTTCATTAACATGTAAAAGTTATAATTTACCTAAATTTATATTAATTTTTTTTTTAATTTGTAAAACTATCTCAAAGCCTTTAAGTTATTTTTCATACAAAGCTAAAAATTGAACATGCAATAATGAAATAATTAATACAAAATTGTTAAAAAATTAGTTACATAAATATATACTAAAATAATTTACTTTTTTTCCAAAGCATCGGTTTGAATTTAAACAAATTTTAAATATTCTTAAAATACAGTTTATAATAATTTTGAAATCAAAAAAATATATGCAAAATATTCCTAAAATGTTTTTTTTATCAAAATATAAATTAATATAATTTTTAGTCACTATACATTTTATTACTTTTTTCTATAAAAAAAAAAAAAACTGTTATACTATATAAATAAATAAACCAAATTTTTCGTTCTTTATAAATTATAGTTAATAAAAATTATCTTTGTTTTTATTCTTGATGTGGTAAAAGTTTTTTAAAGATATTTTGCTATACTCTTTTAATTCTTACAACATTTATTAGGTATGAAAAAAACTGGATATTATATTAAAAAAACTTTTAATTTATTTAAATATTAATAATTTACTTCAACAAATAAAATTCTTTCATAGATTTTAAAATGTTCAAAACTTAAAGAAAAAAAAAATTTGTAAAATTATTTAAAAAATTAAAAATGGGTTTTTAGTAAAAGTATTAAAAATATAATTTAAAAATAAATTTTTTTTTTATATTCTTATATTTTTTTAAATGAAAATTAAAAAAAATTTAAATTATTAAAATTTTATGGATGTCTACAAAAGAAAATATGTATGTTATTTTGTGTTTGTATTTATGCACTCCTACAAATATACTTGATAAATGGTGCTAATAATATTTTAAGTAGAAAATGAAAATAATTTTCCTGGAATTACATATTTTTTATGAAATTTCCTCAAAAACCGGATTATTCATTTGAAAAAAAATTTAGTTCTTTCGACACGTTTTTAAATAAATATAATAAATATATATTTTTTATCTATATAAAATAAATATATATGTATTTATATGTATAAAATTATATTTTTAAATAAATATAATCAATATATAATTTTTTGTTTTTGTTTAATGTATTCAAAAAATTGTTTATTTAATAATTTTTTATAATAATTTTTTAAATATATTTATTTAATAATTGTTTAATTTTTATTTAAATATATTTAAATATTATTAATATTATAATTTTAATTGGGTATTTAAATAGATTAGAAAAATAATAAATAGAGATGAAAAAAATTATTAAATAAAAAAACCAAAAACAATATTTATAAAAAAAAACATTTTTTTTAAACATATTGAAGTAAATATATTGAACTTTTATTTAGAAATGCAGCATAAATAAAATTTAAATATTTTTTTTTTAATTTTTATTTAAATATGCTTAAAAAAATATTAAAATATTATTTTCATGTCATTCGCATTTTTAGTAACTTTTTTTCAACTATTTCAATGTTAATTTTCAAATATTTGTCTAGCTATTTTTTAAATTATAAAGCAATCTAAAAAAGAGTATTACATATATATTTGTGAACAAAAAAACGTTTAATTTTAATTTTCGAGTAAATTGCATAAATAATTAATTTTAACTATATTTTTTATTTTTCAATATCAACTCTACTCATTTGGCATTATTTTACATTTCTTCACATTGTTTCTTAAATTACTTTTAGTTTTTTGGTTTTTTTGTTAATGAGTGGTGTATTTCAATGAAAGCTAATTTTAGTGGTCGTCACTGTAAATAACGGACATCTATGTAAATAATTGTTGGCTAAATGCTGAAATTTCTACATACAAACTGTATATACATTTACTTTTTTTATCATAATATTCAAAAACAGTTTCAATTATATTTTTATATTTATCTTTGGCTTTTTTATTTACACTTGTCGAATTTTCATTTTTTACAATATTTTTCTGATTTTTGTAGCTTATTCATACATATCGAATATAATCTTGAGCTTTAATTTGTTTTTATATTTTTACACCTTAATTGAAAATAAATATTTTCTAATATACATTTCCCTTAATTTCATCGCCTTTTTTCATTTCCAATTCCTTCGCCTGTAATCTTATTTTCAACCTCTGATCTGAATTATTTTTGCATAGTATTTCGCTTGCCATCAAAATTCTCCCTATTTCAGTTCTAGTGCTTGAGTTCTTCTGCTCTCAATTCTACTTAACATGATTTTATTCATTTGGTTTGCTTAAAAGTATTTGTATATCTACTTAATATGCCTTAAAATGTAATCAGTTGCAGTGACTTTTTTCATTACATTTATCCAATTTTATTTATTTTATATTGTATATCCTCTATAATTTTTATGTGGCAGCCAAGTCGTTCGTTTCGACACTCTGACACACCTTTTCTAAAATTTCAGTATTTTTTTCCACTTTCTGTTCCATATTTTTACTCAATGTAGTAACTGAAACTACGCTTGCGTTTGCTCCCTATAGTTTTCAACTTTAGTTACCCGGATTTTATCCAACGATCAATTGAATATTCAAGAGCCGAAATCCATCTGCAAAAAATTTGAATGAAAAAGTTGAGAAACAAACTTATAAACATATATGTACAGTATTTTCAATAAGACTTTCTATAAACAGTCGAATGCCCATGGCAAATCTAAGTCTCCGCAAAATCAGACTTACACGAAGTTAGAAGATCAAGGCCAACTGATATTGTAGCTGATTTAGGAATAAAAACTGTTAAGAAAATGGTTGGAAATAAGTAAAGTATTGCATTGGCGTTGAAAGCCTATGGAAGATATTCTACTTAAATTGGTGGACCTGGGTAAGAGATGATCTAGCTTCTGTTGCCTGAGAGACCTGGCAGTATCCTAATTTTTTCAGTCACTTAAATCTAGTTCTAAACTGAAATTTATCAGTTTCCGAGGATTTATGTTAGAACTGAATTTCATACTATCAAACTTATGGCTCTATCAGATATTATTTTCACTTCAGATCCTCACCTAATGTCTAGGGTGTTCAGTGCTGAGTCATGTTGCCCTAATTTTAGTTACTAGCTTTAGTTTACTTAATAGCTATACAAAATTCAAGTTCCAACATATTTCCGAAGACAGTAAAAACTGTTAGGATGTGTCTAGAAAGCACATAAGAAAAGTGTCATATGGAAGTTTCTTACGACATTTTTATTATATCAATCCCAACTTGCATATACTTCCTTATATCGGCTTATCTAAACTTTCTTTGTAGTTTCAAATATCTTTCTAGATTCTGAAACAAACAAGGCTATCTAATTTTTTTATGTTCTTCTTTATTACATTACAAAAAAATTTTTGCAATCTTCTTTCAACGCCTCCACACAAACTCACCTCTTTTTATCCATTTCCGATTCGGTGCAGAAGTAATAATGTCGCAGTTTGGTCTCTGGTGGTATAATCTCGAAGGAGTTCTTCTTGCCTGAGGCATTGGTCGACATCGATGATACCTTATAGCCATGCAGACAAGCCATACCTAGAAAAACGAATAATAAACGATGATGAGATTGCAACCGAAGGAGAAAAGCGAGCAAAAACATAAGGGACATGTTGTATAAACAAACAAACATTTAAAGCGCAACCAAACACAAAAAGCAAAAAAAGGGATACAACAAAATTACATGAACCTAAAACTGGAAGAATACTTGCAGACAGAGAGTGTAAATATTTTACATTAATGCCGTTCGAAACACTCACCAAACGCCGTCTTACTATTAGCATCCTGATAGAAATACAAACAAGCATCCTTTAGCACACAGTAGCGCTTCGACCAGCCACACCAGCGGGAGCCCAATTTCAACAGGTAACCGAAACAGTCCGGGCGTGTAATGCTGCACGGCGGTTGGTAGAGATTGTGTGCGCTGCAGGCAGCCGAAGAAAGTGCCATGAAGAAAAAGTGGAGAAATGAATAATTGAACAACGAATAAAAAAAAAACAAAAACGAGATTAGAATTTCTCGGTAATTTCGAATTATAGTTGGCTAAAAAATTGTTAACCCACCTATTATCCAGCCAGGGTGTGCCCTGTGTGGCCGCTTGCTTGAGCAACTTAATCCAACGGTTGGACAGCTCCTCCGCATCTGCGGCCACATACAATGGTATGCCTTCGCCGGAGTCAATTTTGAAGGCGTACGGCTTACCGACCTCAGGCGGGCAGTGATCAATTGTATGCTTGGCCATGATCATAGCGCCAACGGGTTGATTGTCCTACAATGCCAAATAAAAGTTTAAAACATATTCAAATTCAATAAAAATTATTACTTTTTTTACTCACATCTTCGGTTTTATAGTAGTACAGACAGTTGTCCGGTCGCAGCGAGAACCAGCGGCGCACCCATTTTTTCGTATTCGGTGCGCCCTTCGCTTGGCCGCTCTGTCGCCATAAATAGCCGCTAAAAATCGGTTGACTGGGCGGCTCTTGTTGCTCGTGCATGAGCACACCGATCGTGCGCGCCACTTCCAGTTCGAGTATCTCACAGCCATCGTGTGCGATCTTCACCACTTCGGTATGATGTTTATCCAAGACCTCAACGCCATTCACCGATATGATTATATCGCCGACTTCGAGTCCAGAACTCTCAGCCGGTGTTTCGGGTTCAATAGCGGCGACCACGACCGGTTTGGAGCCATGTATGCGAAAACCAAATTCACCAGACTCACTTTTAACCACAATGGTTTTGTCAACGCCTTAAGGAGAGCAGGAGAAATAAAAAGAGTAGTATAGTAGCATATTTGTATTTATTTTTATAATGCAGTACTGGAAAATTATTGTGGTTTTTTTATAAATAAAGGTATTTCAATAAATATTTGACCCATCTATACCCCTTGCTCCCGCTGTAATCTTTGAAATCACATGCGATTCGCGCGACCATACCAAGAGCATTAATTTCAGCAGATCCTCTAATTTGCGTCGCAATGAATCCGATGACGAATTTGAGGTTATTAATTCTGTGAAGTAAATTTTGCGGTTTACAAGAGTTGAAAATAAATTGATAACTCAAGCAGCATACCAATCATCGTGCTGGGAGTTTTGTCTGGATTATTTGTTAATCTTTTGCGATTTACTTTCTTTTTTTAACTTTTTATTTAAGTTTGGTGTTAGGAGTTTTTCTTTTTATATTAATAATATTTATTTTTATGTTTTTTTGTGATTGATATGATTTTTAGTTTTCAGAGTTTGTGTTTCTTGTGTTCTCCTTTTTTTATTTGTTTATCGAATTATTAATTTATTCGTATCGGTTAGGTTATATTAATATCCATATATAATATGTTTAAATATTGCTTTTCAACTATTCTTCAAGTCTTTTACTTTATTATTTTATATATTGGGTGTATGCATTAATTCGTGCGGTTTTCTAAGAGAGGGCTCTACTAGTATCAAAGGTCCTGCCATTTCGCGTCGTTTTCAGTAGATATAAATTGTTTGAGCGTGAACAACAATTTGTTTCATTCATTTGAAAATGTCGAAATTTGTACCAGATAAAGTGTTTTTGCGGGGAGTTCTTCTTCATTATTTTAACATGAAGAAAAGTGCTGCCGAAAGCCATCGTATTTTACTGGACGTTTATGGTGACCATGCTTTAGCCGAACGAACGTGCCAAAAGTGGTTTGCACGGTTTAAAAGTGGCAATTTCGACTTAGACGACGGAGAACGACCCGGACAGCCAAACAAACTTCAAGACGAAGAATTGGAGACATTGCTCGACGCAGATGCATGCCAGACGCAAGAAGAACTTGCAAAAGTATTAGGAGTTGATCAAGCAACCGTTTCCAGACGATTAAAATCATTAGGATTCATCCAGAAGCTTGGAAATTGGGTGCCTTATGAATTAAAGCCAAGAGACGTCGAACGTCGAACCAAAAGAAGTCGTTTTTGCATCGGATTGTCACTGGCGATGAAAAATGGATTCATTATGATAACCCAAAGCGCAAGAAATCGTATGTGAAGCCCGACCAACCATCAACATCCACGGCAAAGCCGAATATCCATGCTGCTAAGGTTATGCTATGTATTTGGTGGGACCACAAGGGTGTGCTCTATTATGAGCTATTGAAATCGGGTCAGACGATCAATGGGGAACTCTACCGAAAACAATTGATTCGTTTGAAAAAGGCCATCGCGGAAAAACGACCAGAATATGCGACCAGACACGAATCAATAATTTTTCATCATGACAACGCTCGGCCACATGTTGCAAAGCAACAATAAAAACTATTTGGAAAACTGTGGGTGGGAAGTTCTCCACAAACTGCCAGAAAGATGGGCAAATATCATAGCTTCCGATGGGCAATACTTTGAACATTAAATGTATAACAATTTTTTCACAATAAAGTCTTAATTTTCGTAAAAAAACCGCACGAATTAATGCATACACCAAGTGCTCTTTTTAATTGCCGCAGAGCACAATTATTATATATTGCTCTATGTACTACTCGTCATGAGTACATGGTTCTATAAGTAGCAGAATCTGAATAATGTAAAAAATTTACTTCTGTCCGTTTCGTTGGAAATTTGATCCGTAAGGTGTCGGACCATTGCCAAAGCCTCAAAGCGTTCTTCAAAATACGTAATATACTCTAATGGAAACCCACTTGAAGGCTGACACCACTGCAGAACGTCGAGAAATCCCTTAATTTCCGGGAAAACAAGGAATACAATGAGAAATGTGAATATATACCTTATACCTTTGTAATTAAATGTTTACATTTTCTCTAGAGAAAACTAAGTGACGACTGTGCAGGTGGTTATTGTAGAGATCCGCAGCCAAAAATATATATTTTTTTCTGTTTGAAATATACAAAGTTTTATGACGCCTCAATTTATAATGGTATCAGGTTAGAATGTCACGTTAAATACAGTGATTCGGTAGACTAGATTACTGATCCTATAATTTCTATATTTTCCCTACGCGTTTTATACTGTCTATGAACATCTGATCTGAGATGATATAGGTATCTTTGCAATTGAGTAAGAATGTTTCGCGCAGCTTAATGTGAAGTTCGTTCAAAAAATGTTCCTTAAACTATAGTCGGCGTAAGTGTAAAAACTCTATTTCGGATATTAAACGAGATATATTAATGAAACTCGATAGACTTCTTATCTATAGAATATTTTACATTCGCATGTCTACAATTTTACTAGTTGCAAGAGTGTCTAATACTCAGACGCGCGCGAACTAATGACGTCCTTATTTTTTTGCGCTGGAATTAAAGGTCAAGAGCGCAAAATTTAAAAAAAAAATCTTGAGCAATATTATTGATAAAAGGCGCTCGCGTCTTAGTATGTTGACATTTTTCTGTATTTTCAATTTCATTATATCAAATAAAGTTTGTCACTATTTAAAAGCACGTTATACATTTTCCACACATATACTTGTACATATACATTTGTGATATTTTTTAAACAACTTTTAAGTACTTTAATATATTCAATTAATTTCGCAAACAATTTCACCGCAATACAACGCACAATTCTCAATTTTGCCCTTACTCGGCACTTTGTCAATGAACCACTGACCGTTCGACCGCCCGATATCTATGCGTAATTCACTCGTGTCGGTGCCTTGGCTCGCGCGCTAATTAATCTTATCGACTATTTTTAAAGCGCACAATCAAAGTGTATAGGGCTCTAAAACACAATGCCGACATTAGAAACAACAATAACAATTACATGTGTTTATAGCGAAATACAACTCAATCACTTTACTGTTGGCAAAAAAAAAATGGCTTTCGACGTATTGCACGCCACGCACGTTCACGCAAAACAAGTTGCTAGACGCTACTACACGGCTTTTACGCTCGAACATAGCTGATTGCGGAAATTTCTAAATTCACGTCACGCATTTTCTTTCTATAAAAGTTGTTTTTGTAAATGTTCGAAAATTGTACTGTGTTCGTTTGCGCTCACGATTGCTCAGTGTTTCGTCTGTACGCCGTTCCAAAATTAGATATTCGAAGAAGATAGCAACAATGTTGCGAAATTTTTTATGGTACGTGCTCTAATCCATTTCAGAATCGGTGAGAGATAATAATAAGTCGGTGCTACAATTGATTATTCAATTTATAGCTGTGGCATATAAATCTAAAAAATTACTCATTTCGAAACTTAGTTTGTATAAACATTCTTATAATTTTATTTGAAATACGTTTTGAAAATGTTTGAGAGCGGAAGAGAAAAGCTAATTTAGTATTAATTGATTTATTCGAATTTTGTATTTGATATCTACAATAACTAACTTGGAAATATATATGGTTTTGGAAATTTTGGAAAAACACGATGCACAAAATTTATCAAAATTCAAGAGAAAATAATTTTTTGCCCGAAAAATATTGCCTACATTTCGGAGCAATGCTTAAACTGTAAAAAGTGTAAGAGACCATATTGCAATGCTATATTTTAAATAAAAATGCCAAAATATGTTAATGAAGACTGATGGAGCGGTAGCAATCAAGTAATATGAGGAACATGTACTCCTCACGATAATTTCAACAGATTATATTCCTCAATGCGGTTTCGCATATCTAAGTAATGCAAACAGTCCCCAGATTAAATTTTTTTTATCACTTCAAAACTTGTAGGTATGTCATGCATGCTTAGAAATCTGAGATCAATTATGTTCAAATTTTTCGAACGAGTCAAAATATAGACACGAATAGGAATTAAACAACGTTAGTTGACTTTACTAAACAAGCTTGATTCATAGAGACATAATGGACGAAATTCGTTCCTTTCTATCACTACCAGTCTACAAACAACATTCGGTAGTCCAGTAATTTTCTGGTGCCGTGGTTTCAAGCCTTATTAAATTCCTTCCTTTTCTATGGGTGAAAAACCTCGTAATATTATTTCTATGAACTAACATAATTTGACAAGTCAGTTGAGAATTCTTGGCATATTTTATACGCTTGGTGCAAAATTGAAGAAGGCACAGCACTAGCCTACATTAAGTTTTAAACGCAGCCCAAAAGAAATGCTGATTACCATAAGATAAACATTTAGACTTACGAAAATTGTTGTTCCGTTGGCGATGATACATTTCCAAGGTGCAACGTCGCTGCACCAAACGATGTAGTATGACTTGATACTTTGTGTGAAAACTGCGCTCCGACTCGGTTGACGGACGGCGATCACGATGACGATCTGCGTTAGAACAACGAAATTAAAATGAAAATCATATAACAAAAGCGCAACAGAGTCAAAAAGCATATACCGAAACTTTGATGATTTAGCTGAGTCCAAACATCAGCGTCGGTGAGACGTGAATAACGCGCCGGGTCGTAATGACCACGATAAATAATCTGTTGACTCTGCTCAATCGCTGCATCCGGCAGTACACACGGACTCGAACCGGCTGGACGTAAGCTCTGTGGACTACGTGAGTGTACGCTCTCACGACTGCGTTCTTCGCTCTACAAAAAATAA